AAGATCTGTTGCAGTTTTGTTTTTAAGACAGGCTAAATCTTGTGGTATGTTACTCCAAATGAACCTGAACATTTTTTTTTAAATAACAAATAAATAAAATGTTTCCCTTGAATTCTACTACTCAGAACTTTGTGAAGTACACTCAGTGGTTAGCACTGATTCTTCAAAACAGAAGGTCCTGGGTTTGATCCCCGGTTCGGACCTGTTCTTCCCATGCTTGCGAGGGTTTTCTCCGGGTACTCCAGTTTCCTCCCAGAGACCAAACTGTTAGGCTGCCTTCTGGCCCAGGACTCTGATTCACTTATTATTATTCATCAAATAACTATCTAATAAATTCCTTTTGCTTATCTTACCCAGAATTACTGTATTTCTTTCTACATCAACAGGAAGGTGTGTGTTACTCTAACCTTGTGACTCTGTGTGTGATTCTATCAGGCTGCAAGCTCATTTATTCAAGGTACTTACCAAAAAAAAGAATAATCGTTTTTCTGCATCCTGTGTCTGTGAGTAATGTTAAAAACTGCAGCCAACGATGTGTTTTGGCTCAGCACGCACAGTGAGAGTAGACAGGATGACTGTAATAAGATAAACTACAGAAAATAACAGGAGCTTCTGTACTGGGTGGAAAAAACAATAAGTGAGCTCATGATGGGAGCCACGTGTTTCTGATCTGAACACAAATTTTATTCTACTTTCCAGAACCATCAGTTACACAACATAACATCTTAGGTTTTAATAACGATGTGACCATAAGCACTAGACCTTTTATGTTCAGGAAAATGAATGAGCCACAGATGTTGTGCAAATTATGAATAAAAACATGACACAAAGATTTGTAAATCTCATGAACCCATTTTTTTCACAGTGATACATAGTAAAATATCAATAGCTGAAATAAAAAATTGTACAATTTTTGTGGGAAAAATGTTTTAATGTTTATTAGGATTTTTTGTTGTTGTTTGTTTGTTTTGCAGTGACACTGTAGGTTTAAAAGCATTTCTAAAAGTATTACCAGTCTCTGGATGAGGAGAAACAGCTAGATAAAATATCAAACAGAAATGAAATTATGTCTACACAAACAACTTGTAATAAATACAATGAGCAAACAAAATATAATATGGCAAAAAAAATTAAAATAAAATAAACGCTTAAACCTGACAAACAATGACCCTCACACATGACTGCAGGCACTGCAACCCTGAGAGGAAGTATATAAAGGAACTGGATGGATAAAGGTATCTACACCAGATATGTCCTTTGTTCTGGATGTTTTAAGTGTCTATGAAACTACAAGTTCTATAACACACCTGATGACGAAAGCTGGCTCTGGACTATTTATTGGTCAAATATTTAGAGTTAGAATTCCTTTTATTGTCCTTGCACATGTAGCACAAAGAAATTTACAGATGGGCAGTTCTCAAAGGCAGTGCAAAATAACAGAGTTCTCAAAAACAGGAATCAAGTAACAACAATGAGTATATACAATGAAATAGAAGAAGTACAGTTTAAATAGAAGAATAAAATAGAAAATAAATAACAGCAGTTTTGATATGTTCAGGACATCAGAATATTGCACTTGATGTGTATTTATTTTGCACCAAACAGAGTTGAGCAGAAAAATGAGTGATCATGGTTTGGATGTGTCTGCAGTATTTGTGTTGTTCAGGACAACAACAGTTTGAGGGTAGAAGTTATTTTTTAGTCTGTTTGTTCTTGACTTTATTGCCCTGAAACACCACCCTGATTGTAAAAGTTCAAAGAGGTTTAATTTGCACTGTTGAATGAAAAACACTGGGTTATAGTTGGTAGAGTCAAGGAAAAGGTTATTAAAATGTCTGTTTGTTTATTTATTTATTTATTTATTTTTTTGTGCTTTGACCAATCTCTTTTGTGGAAAAATCTCTTTTTAACCACTTTATTACCTAATGAAAAACACTGGGTTATAGTTGGTAGAGTCAAGGAAAAGGTTATTAAAATGTCTGTTTGTTTATTTATTTATTTATTTTTTTGTGCTTTGACCAATCTCTTTTGTGGAAAAATCTCTTTTTAACCACTTTATTACCTAATGCTGTTAACAAAATTCTGGCAATTGCTTATTTATTTCTGGTTACATTTTGGGCTGAATTCCTTCTYGTTGATTCAGCAATCAGAGGTGGAGCGTGCAGATGTTTGTTTGTGATGGTGGGCTCTTGGCAGCGTCTTTGGCATTTCCTCTTCTCTTTGTACTTATCATAAAGCTCATGCATTGATTTGTTGCCGTTTACTCTTGTTTTGGACTGTTGTGAAGGGGTTTTGGAGCTATTCTGTTGGCTTGGATTGCGGTGAGCTGTTAACAGAGTTTTTCTTTTGGCATGCATTATTATGGGTGTATGGTGGTGGGATTTTCTCTAGATTTGGATTGTGACGAATGCTGAGTTATGGTGTTTTTGTCTTGGCATGGATTGCTGTGGGGTTGTGTTGGGAATATTATTTATTTATTGTCTGGCTTGGACCATTGTGGGKGTGTGTTGAGGGGATTTTCTTTTGATTTGGATTGTGGTGGAAGTTGGGTTGGGATTTTTTTGTCTTGGTTAGGATTGACTGTTGTGGGATTCTGTCAGGGTTTCTCTTTTGCTTTAGAATCAGTCTACATTTATCCATGGAGCCCTTTCTAACAGCCAACAGGTGCACAAAATGCTTAAATATATAAAAATGAAAGGAAATCAATAAAATAAATATGAAAATGCCAGAGAGCCACTATGTAACCTGCCTGAATAAAATGGTTTTAAAAAGGACCTATTATGGGGTCTTTGAACAAGTTAGGATCCATCTGTGGGCTATAAAAAACATGTTCACTTGATTTAATTCACAAAATGAATCTTAGATGATGAGATTTCATCTTTTCAGTTCTGCCTGTTCTGAGCTCTCAGAACGAGCTGTTTATGCAAATAAGTTGCTGTTGGCTCCGCCCTCCAAACACAGCACTTCAGAAATGTGAAAATGACCAGTATAAGCAGACGATACAACCATATAGACGGACTGCGTGCAGTGCAGCCAGCCCCAAGCCTTGGTRGGGACAGACTGGCCTTGGTGCCAGGGAGGCAAACATCGTCCGTCACCTTTTCCTGAAGTGGTGAAGAAGAACCAAGTGGTGGTCAAGGTCCGCACCCAGCAGTCTGGAGGCCCCCGTGAGACGAACGCTGTGGCGTGGGAGTCTCCAATCCTCCCTCAGGCCAGATCGGTTGACGATGACACACTGCGCGGCCACCCCAGGGGAGAGCGTCAGACTGGTGCCCAGGGAGAACAACGCATGTCTGTCCCTGCGGCCCAGTAACAGCGTAGTGAAGAGGGAAAGATGATCTGTGCTGCAGCAGCACAGATTGTCATYGCTGCTTCCTCAGGACGAGGTTGTGGAGGGGGAAAGGCCAAGCTGCTCGCCTCCTTGTCGATCATGGCAGCGCGTTCAAAAATAATTTGTGCTGAATGACAAATCATGGTCATACTGAACAGCAACACTTAACACACAGCACATCACTTAAATCGTCATCATCTGCAGGAACAGTGGGGACAGAGGTTTCCTTCAGCTGTGAACCCTTGGGTAAATTCTGCTGTGCACTCTGAATAAAGTTTTCAAAGCAGTCCATTGTGAAATTATTTGCACAAACTGCAACTTTCTTTGGCAATATTTATAGAACATTGCCATCAAAAATAAAATTATGCCACACATCTCTGTTCGCCATGACTGTTGTAAAAATCAGCAGAACTAATGTTGTCCTGTGACGAAGTGGGCGGAGTCTCCACTTGGGTTACCAGGTGAGGGGCTGGGCTCACCTTGGCAATGCTAACTCACCTGGATTATGATGTAACAATACACAGGTTTTTGAAACAACTCATTTGCTGACACACACACAAAAAATTATATATTGTCAAAAACAGCTGGTATTTTTTGGCGCTTGGACTGTTCTTGSAAGCAGTACAGACCCAAACTGAAGCATTAAAACATGTAAAAAAAATKTAATTTTGCATAGTAGGTCTTCTTTAAGATTAGATTTAAAAAGACCCAGATCAGTGATGGAGAGCAAATCCTGAGGTAGKTACTTCCACAGTCTGGGTACAGGGACCAAAAAGGACCAGTCACTCCATTGTTTGCATTTGRATTTTGGGACAAACAATAAAGAGATATTTATTGATCTTAAAGTTGTCTTTTACTCATGAAAAGTGACTGGATCTGCTAAATAAGATGGGGTGAGACCATGAAAAGCTTTAAAAAGTAAATAAACTTTTCAAATCAATTCTAAAATGGACTGAAGGCCAGTGGAGGGAAAACAAAATGGGAGTGATCTGTCCCTTTAGTTTCTTTCTCTTCTATTTTTACATTTCTGTTTAATGCACTTAAATTATTGTCATCAAATTAAAAACATCTGCATCACAAGTTTTGTTGTTTTACATAACAAAACACAAAATTCAAATTTGGTCCATTATCACAGTTAAACGTTTTAACAAGTACAAATTACATGTGTTTTGCTTTGTTTTCTTTTGAACAATAAAAAATATCAACATCCTGTTGTTTATAACAAATAACAACAAAAAAACAACAGTTATTTCTGAGAGTTCTCCTTTAATGGAAACCATTTAGGAAGCCCAAGGAATTTTCTTGAAATGTTTAGAGTTCATTTCTCCTGCATGAGTAACACAGACAGAGTGATGAGTTTGTGTTCAAATGGAAAAACGGTTTAATGATTTTCCATGTGCTTCATCACGCTTTAGTCAGCAAAGACAGACAGGAGAGAGTGGCGAGTGTGAGAACAGGATGTCTGTTCAGACACTGCCACATGACATCATCGTCTGTGTGTGTGTGTGTGTGTGTGTGTGTGT